TTTATCAACTGTAAAGAGAAAAGTATTTTCCCAAAACATATATATATTTTTAGGAGAAGCATCAAGTCTTCTCAAGTCACAGGCCTCAAATTCGAGTCAGTTCCCAAGTCATTGACTTTCAAATCCAAGTCAAGGTCCAAGTCTTTGTCTATTTTATCAAGTCAAGTCTCAAGTTCTAAAAATAGTGACTCAAGTCTGACTCGAGTCCAAGTCACAACTCACAAGCCCCCACCTCTGGTAGTCCTAACCAAGACTAACTCAAGATTTGAAGATGGGTCTCTCTGCTCCTGACACACTGGCCCAATGGCATTGAATGAAGAAACAGATTGTTGCATGATCACAATTAGAGCTACATTTCAGAATAAAATAGAAGTTAGGCCTGTGTGACTTTCAAATTGTAGTCAGTCACTTACGTAAAATATATACATTTTTATTAATTCAGTATTTTAAGTTAAATGTAGAAATCTTTGTAAAGCATGAAAGCCCCTCTCACCTGTTTTATCTGTTGCTCTCTCTTATCCGTCGGTGAGATCACAAAGAGGAGCAGACCAGGTGCAGGACCAGACCAACCCATGCCCTCCTCTCTCTCCCTTTCTCCTCCCGCCCTCTTTCTCTCTCTCCCTCCCCCTCCCTCTGTATCTGCCTCACCCATCCCTCTCTTTATCTAACTCTGTTCCCTCACCCCTCCCTTTCTCTCTCTGTCTGTCACCATCTCTCTACTCCCTCTCCCAGTCTTTCCCTCCCTCCTTCCCTCTCGTGGGCACATGTTGACACTCAGACAAAAAGCAGGTGAATAATTTAGTTGCATGGGCCCGGGACAGTCAGCAGTCCGTCCCCTGGCTCACACTGGCACCGCAAACAGAGGGTATAGTGTAACAAGAGCGTCTAATAGAACAATACAGAGATGACAGAGAAGCTCACGCTCGCTCAAAGCTCACATAAAAAGCAGTCTTAAGGTCTAAGTGTGGATTAGAGAGTCTATTACACTGTGTGAATTGTATGGTAAAGTAATTGGGAGAAAGTCTGTTAGCTTTGCCCTCCAACTGGAAGGTTTTTGGTTTAAATCCCAAGTGAAACTGGTCTGAAGACAACAACTGAAAACACTTTAAATATAAAATGGACTGACAAAATATTTGCTTTACTACATTACACAGAAGATACAGTGGAACATTCAAGGTGAAGCAATAATAAATAATCTCCACAGAAAAATTACATAGTGTATCTTTAATATTTACAATTAATCCAGTCCCTTGGTGTACATTAGTCTTTCTTGAACTGAACCTTCAGGATTTCAGAATTTACTGCTGCTCTACAAGGAAGAGCCACTAGAGAGCAGCATATGATAACAATTGTCAAATGTCTTACGTTACACAAAATTAACTCTTGTGTAATGATACTTCATCAAAATATACCTGGAGTTGTGTTTTGCTTAGGGTGACTAGACGACTTTTTGTGCCCAGAACAGTACCAGTTTTGAGCCCTGTGTCCCCTGTCCCAGCAGATTTATCCAAAACCACTGATTAGTCCCAGTTTTATACAGGAAATGTCCCCAGAGGCATAAACTGGCATTTGTTTAGGTAAAATAGAATAAAGCTGCTTAAAAATGTCCATGCTGACTCAGATGTTAGTCATGAATGGTCTCTGCAGAACAATTTTCATGAATTATGCAATCACAGTTTATTATTTCCAACCACAAAAAAAAAAAAAAAAAAAAAAAAAAAAAGGATGTAACAGCTTTTTATTTTGCAATTCTGATCACCCTAGTTTTTCTTCATTCACACACAATTGAGTAATACTGCATTATTACTGTGTTTGCATTTCCAAAGCTTAAAATGCTCTGTTCCACCTTGTGATGTCATGCAGTGGTAGTTTTCAACTACTTAACAGCTCTCGTTTACCTTTAGTTTAGTAGAGAAAGGATATACCGATGCTCAAATTGATCAAATGATTCTAGTGAAGGTCAGTGGTGGAGTTAGCCATGGGTGGCCCTGGGCGAACTTGAATTTGGGAGCCTCACTATAATGCACCCTTTTTTTATTTTTATATTTTTTTATATATATTTATTGTCTGTTTTTCCCTCCCCATTGTTCTTGCGACATGCACATTTCTGTTTATTTGAATTATGGTGGACTGGAAACTTATTAGTTAAGTAGTTTACTAGATAACCAGAACTGGAAGTAGTTTTATTTAGTACAATTGCATTTTTGTTTGCAGTCATTACATATGATTATTATTATTTTTCTTATGATTATTGTTTAAAACTAAACTACTCTCATTTAATATCATATTGAGAGAAAATCTAATTGCTCTGAGGCCTCGGCCATTAGTGACAATGAGGGCAATTTGAAGGCTGAGCGGAAATGGCGCAAGTCAAACCTCCAGGTTCATTATGAGATTTACAGAGGAACAATGCATATGTACAACTACACTTTGAGTAAAACAAGAGAGAAGTATTTTTTCGGACATTATTGGTAATTGCAGTAACAACTCTCGTGTCCTGTTTGCAACAGTGAACAGATTAACAAACCCTCCAGCTCCACTGCCACTAGAACTAATTTCCACATCTAAATGTAATGAGTTTGCAGTTTTCTTTAATGACAAAGTTCAGGGCATCAAAAATGCCATCAATTCCACAACACAAATAACAAGCATGCAGCCACAGAGACACTTAGAGCTGAATCACTTTGCACCTGTAACTGACAAAACTGTTTTAGAGATCGTTACCAGTCTGAGTTCATCTACTTGCTGCCTGGACATTTTACCCACTAGATTTCTAAAGTCCGTCCTCAACAGTTTACTTTCACCACTCACTCACATAGTTAACATGTCACTTCAATCTGGAACATTCCCAAATGCGTTGAAACTGCGGTCATTAAGCTCTCCTAAAGAAGAGCAGTCTTGATGCCACAGTATGAACAATTTCCGACCCATCTCAAATCTGCCATTTTTTGGCAAAGTCCTTGAAAAAGCTGTTTACCAACAGCTTACGAACTTTCTCCAAATGAACAACTCCTTTGATGTTTCCAGTCAGGTTTTAGAGCCCACCACAGCACTGAGACTGCTCTTATCAAGGTGACAAATGACATCTGCCTGAACACTGATGCAGGCAAAGTCTCAGTCTTGATCCTGTTAGATCTGAGTGCTGCTTTTGACACTGTCGATCATGGGATCCTCTTACAGAGACTAGAGGACTGGGTGGGCATCTCTGGTACTGTAATAAACTGTTCAAGTCCTATCTAGAAGACAGGAAGTATTTTGTTGAAATTGGAAACTGTGTCTCAGATGACATGGCCCTGACCTGTGGGGTGCCTCAGGGGTCAATCCTGGGCCCCCTGTTGTTCAATCTCTACATGCTGCCATTAGGCAGTTAATAAGCAGCAATACGTGTCGTACCACAATTATGCAGATGACACTCAGATCTACGTCTCTCTGGCAGCAGGAGACTATGACCAGTGGAGTCACTTGGTCACTGCATCCAACAGATCGTGTGTGGATGCAAAAAACTTTCTAGCTAAACTCTGACAAGACTGAAGTCATAGTGTTTGGTCCACAGAAACAAAGGACAGTGTCAGCAGTCACTCCAGTCTCTCGCTCTAAAACCTTCAAATCAGGCAAGAAATCTAGGGGTAATAAGACTCAGACTGAACTTTAACAGTCACATAAAATCAATAACATCTGCAGCCTTTTACCATCTAAAAAACATAGCAAAAATCAAATGTTTACTGTCTAAATCAGACTTGGAGAAACTTATCCATGCGTTTGTCTCCAGTAGGTTAGACTACTGTAATGGTCTGCTCACTGGTCTTCCAAACGAGCTGTGAGACAGCTGCAGAACATCCAGAATACTGCAGCTCGGTCCTTACTCGAACTAGGAAGTACGAGCACATAAGTCCTGTGCTAGGTCTCTGCACTGGCTTCCTGTGCCTCAGAGAATAGACTTTAAAGCAGCTCTGCTTGTTACAAGTCTCTCCATGGCCGAGCACCAAAGTACATCTGTGACATGTTAGTGTCATATGAACCATCTCGCACTCTGAGGAGCTCAGGGACCAGCCTCCTGCTGGTGCCTAGAGTCAGAACTAAACAAGGGGAGTCAGCGTTTCAGGTTTATGCAGCTAAAACCTGGAACAGTCTTCCTGAACATGTGAGACAGCCTCTTCTGTGACGCTGTTTAAATGACTCAAAACATTTCTGTTTAACTGTGCATATAACTGAAAAGCTTTCATTCGCACTCTTCTCTCCAATTATGTCTCTCTTTTTTATTTTAACATGATTATTTATGTTTTGATTTGTTTTATTATGATTTTAATGTATTTCTTATTCTGTAAAGCACTTTGAATTTTTGTGTACGAATTGGCAAATAAATGCCTTGCCTTGTTGGGGTCCCCTCCAGGCTTGGGGGCCCCGGGCAGTCGCGTACTTTTGCCTAATGGTAGCGCTGCCTCTGGTGAAGGTGCATGACGTTTAAAAACACAGTGGAACACTTCCTGTACACAGAGTGTTTTCAGTGTGAGAGAACTCTACCTATACATGCAGGGTTTGTGAGTTAAACATACAACTCCCGGCATGTTTGTGATGATTAAACAACATTATAACATAGACCTAGATCAGAAAATGGTGTAAAATGGGCCCTTTAAATAGTCAACCATTTAATTCCAAAGTATTATTATTTATATAGTTAAGAAATCAATTTATTTTCTCTCAACTTCGGGTTAAATTTCCATGACGTGTAATGGATAAACTGTGAGTAATGTCATAGGTTTACAGATGTCATGATTTCTATCTTAAATGTGTACTATGTCCGTTTTGTAGTGGAGGGAAAATCTGGTCCTACAGAGTAAAAAGTCTAGGCTTATATTTTGTAGACAGGAAATAAACGTGTAACCAACTTGGCTTGACGACATTTTCTTGCGTTTCCAGAGAATCACGTGGTTTGGATGTGGGCGTGTATTCACCGTAAAGGACTTCCTACTGCCCCATGCCAAAACACAGCCCCACATTGCTCTACATAGACTAGAAGGTGCGCACAGGACCTGCAGCAGTCGCGTCTCCTGCTGAACAGCGCGTTAACCAGCCTAACCGTGTACATTTTTCGGGTAAATGTCAAGAGATTTAGGGTATATTTTATAGAATTTCCAGCCACTGTGTTGACAAAGATTTACAAACTCGTTACCGGCTCGGCGCGGAGTGACCATGGCACAGTGGCAGGAGTTGCTGAAGTTGGAGCCGGACTCAAAGAGCCGTGTGTGCCGCCTGTACGCGCGCAAGTTCCCCATCGATGTCCGCCGCTGTCTGGGGGACTGGGTTGAGGGTCAGGACTGGTGAGTGCGAGCCAGGCAAATGGCACTATACTCATGTTATATCTTAATAATTGTTACGTAATAATCCTTTAAATTATGTGCACTCTTGATTGCACTCTTGTTAGGCCTACTTGTACAAGCTGAATCTGAATCTGTGGTGGTGGTAGCCTATCAAAGTATATTAGCAACAAAGTAGGCCTATAAGGAATGGTCTACTACTTGAGCTCTTTTTTTATTTTAGTTTTTTTATTGTACTTTTGTTTTATTTACTCTTCACTATTATTCTACAGATAATCAAAGCTTTATGTTGACATTGACAGTATGAAACGATTTGCTCCACTCCATCAGATATAATGTATTTAGTCTCGTTTATGTGTCTATCCTTAGAAAATATCAGATTTTGTACACTGTTTTGTAGAGGTTTAACGATATCCAAGTCTCACAATACCATATCGTAACAGTAGGAACCTCACGTTGTGATATTTATTGCGATATTATGTGGACAAAACTGTGAATATGCTACTTTTTACTCTTAAAATGCCCTGACAGGACTTAATCCAAAGAACTAAGACTTAAAAGTGTTATTTCTTCATGTAGTCTACGCTGAAATGGAGCAAAGGATCATAATTTATGTAGTTCCCTCTGTCTTTTTTTTAGCTATTGCTGCACCATAACTCTTAATTTAAGCAAAGAGACTTGTAATTGGATATATTGTGATGGTCCACGATATTATTGTGAGAACTTTGATGATACAATATCATGATATTTCGGTTATTGTTACACCCCTACTGTTTTGTCATTTGCTCCCTGCTTCAGTTAAACAGGCTATAACTGTTTGCTAAGGTGGGTGCATAAGCAGGGGTGTGGTAGATTAATCCAAACTGAACTCATATAACAGTTAAAGAACAAGCCACTTGAAAAATTATTTTAGTATAAGTTATATCACAGTTTTCAAACATTTCAAACAAGACCCATATATTCTATTGCCAATAATGAGTTTAATCAAAATGATTAAAAATTCTTGATTTTTATTGTTTCTTTTTCTTTTTTTAAATGTGTTTATTAACATAATCTTTATTAAAGTTGTGTTGAAAAGCAGAGCAAATACAACCCATCCATAATACAGTATAGTCAGACGTGGAAAGTAACTAATTACAAATAGTCACCTTACTGTAACTGAATACATTTTTTGAGTAATTGTACTTTTTGGAGTAGATTTATAAAATCTGTACCTGTACTTGTAATTGAGTATAATTTAGGCCTTGTAATTGTAATTAGTTGCATTTAAATTCATATGAGTACTGAGAACAGCACAACAGTCGTTACTGCCCCAATTGTCTCTCGGATGCATTGCTCTTTTCTAAAGCCACAAACACATAGCACGGCATCTCCTGCTTTGATTGGCCAGAACTGAAAACAACGTATACAGATTGTGGTTTGAAACAACTCAGCTTTAAACTGTTCAACTTATATAACATGCTGCAAAAAAATCTGTTAAAAAAATGACTAGTACTCTGTGCAGTATTTTTCATGTGTACTTTTTAGTTTTACTTAAATACAATTTCAGAAGCAGTACTTGTATTTGTAATTGAGTACATTTTTAGCCATGTAACTGTACTTTTACTTGAGTATGAAGAATTTGCAGTACTGCTTTTCACCCTGCACACTACATAAATGTGCTTTTCTTTAGGGAGTTGGCAGCTGAAGATGAAGCCACAGCGAGGACACACTTTCTGACTCTGCTTCGGAAACTGGACAAACTCATTAAAGAATCTCACTACAACAACCACACTTTAACAGGGCCGGATTTCTCTCTGCTCAAGAGCCACATGTTGGTAAGATGCAGGCATGTCACAATAACACATTTTGAAGCAATATATTGCTACAGAGTAATACTGCTATAAACGATAATATTGAAACTACTTAATACCTTTGACACAAAGCAGGATATTAAACGTATTTTTAAATAGGTCTCATTAAAAGGCATGAGCTACAACAAATAAACAGCAGAATTAACCAATAATTAGCCATAGAAGTTATGTATTCAACCCTGTACAGGTCAAATTAGGACTAGACTGATCGGGCCGATATTTGCAGCTTTTTGCGTATCTGCTATCAGCCTTAAATCTCCAGCACAGGCTGATATCTTGTTTTGGTTGACCTGTTACCTTAAAGGGCCCATCTCATGCAAAATAACTCTTTTCACATTGTATCTTCTGCACATATACAAGCACAATTTGGGTTTTGGAACATTCATTACATAATAGTTATGAAATCTTACTGATTTCTTGGAGGCAGTCACAGACCAGGAACTGTGAAAGACCCGCTATTGCTCATCCCCCCGCCCGTCCTGAGAAAGCACAGGCTCCGCCCCCCCAAACGTGACGTAGGCTCTGAGTGAGCCGCCCTTCCTCCGCCCATCTCAGGGAGGGAGGGGGAGACAGGCGTGCACCCTGATAGCGGTAGGAATAAACTTTTATTCATCATGGAGATACAGCGCGTTCAGTCTTATGTGCTGGACCTGGAATCGGACAAGGACTTTGAGGTGCACGAAGTGCAAGCACCGCGTCGGCATCAGCTGAACATTACTGATTGGTAAAGTATTAATAAACACTAGTAGATAAAGTTATTATATCGTGTACACTGCAGTGTAGAACAATTAGCTTATGTTGTGCTTTTGTTTAGGTGTTCATGTGGGAATTGTCAGACGATGCGGGAGGCGGGCCGGAGGTGGTGGAGCTGGGCGGGTGCGAAGCGCATTCTGCTACGTCAAACATGTCATAGGTGTAGCTGCCACGTCATCGTTGTAGCAGCTTTAGTTTGTTGTCACGTGGGAGGGTGGCAGAAATACGCTGCAATTTGTTAAAAAAACGCAGACTCAATCTAAAAAATACTTCTGCTACATATACAAGGCCCACACATCACTCTTAGAGGGTAGAAAGCTCTGAAAAGTTGATTTTGCATGAGATGGGCCCTTTAAGAGTATATACAAAGCTTTATTTGAACTGTTTGTTGCAAGGAGATAATTGCACAAAACGTGACTGTACTGCTTTCTTAAAGGTTTGCTGTAAGAAAGGTGCAGGTGGTAGACACTTCACCAGAAGTGTGCCCCTTTTAAATCCCCAAGGCAAGCCTTCAAAAATTTGCTAAGGCGTGCTAGTAATTAAAGTTAAAATATGATGTTAAATATTTTATTTAATTAATTAGTCACTGCATTTATATAGTGCCTTTCAAGACACCCAAAGCGCTTTACAGAGCATTATTCATTCAATCCACACTCAGTGGTGTTAAGCTACTATTGTAGCCACAGCTGCCCTGGGGCAGATTGACAGAAGCGAGGCTGCCAATCTGCACCCTCCAACCACCACCAACACTCACACAAACTCGACTTTCTTATTAGGCAGTAGGGTATAATGGTACACGTATTCATGACAAACCATTTCAGTGCAAGATGTTTGGTTCAGTGCAGGGTTGTGCACGAGTGAATTTGCTCAATTTGTATGTGTTTACATTCCACAAATCCATGTGCAGCTACACAGAAGGCTCAGCTCTTTAATATTCAGGAGGGAACTCGTCCGTGATTGGGGTGGTAGTATTTCCCACAGAGCTTTAAATTTAGGGCGGCCACCTTGACAACAATTGCCCACCTTGACTACGTCGCTCCGAACCATGTTAATAATCTCAAAACTACTGTCGTTGCTCCCTGGTCCTCTCTCTCGCATTTCGCTGGCACAGAATCTCTGTCCCCCCACTCCATACCTGCGACCTCTGTCTCTAGCGAAAGGGTATTTTCCATCGCTGGGGACATTGTAACTGCAGCAGATCTGTACTTACTGCAGACAGTGTGGACAAGTTGTTTTTTCTGGCCAAAATACGAGGATTGAGTAAAACTTCATCCTGAACCTGTTAGTGCTGCGCTTTACTTTTTGAAAAGCTTTCTTTACTGTTTACAAGGAATTTATTTTTTATAATAGTTCATACATTTGTTGCTTATTTGAGAATATTTTATTTAACTTATTAGTATTACCAAGCAGCACTTTGCATTTATTTCATTTTCCCATTTTCCCAACAAATTGTTGGTTTAATAAATACACAAATAAACAACAAGCAAATGGTTTTGCATTTTGTTCCCATACTGTACTAAAAATTTACCAAACCATGATCTCAAAAGTGAGGTACGTACCTAACCGTGATTTTTGTGTACCGTTACACCCTTACTAGGCAATGTGGGTGTCCTTAGGCAAGATACTAGGCAAGTGTCTTGCCTAAGGACACGGACCAGTTTTTGCCACTGGCGCCCCGCTGTGGCACCTGGAATTCCCAGTGGTCTCCCATCCAAGTACTAACCAGGCCCGGCCTTGCTTAGCTTCTGAGATCTGACTAGATCAGGCTTTGACAAGCTGGTATGGCCATAAAATATTTTGAATTAATTGAATTTTGCATATTATCTTCTAAAAAGATTTTCTGTTTTATAATAGAGTTGTCAAAAGTATTGAAAATCAGATACTAATGAATACTAAAAATAGTATCAAAACTAGATATTCATTTAAGAAGGTATCAATACCAAGAATGTCACATTTACAGGACAGAACAGCTTTAGAATGATCTTGAGCTGTATCAGAGTAAAGCTACAGACTACAGAGTAGTCATACAAGTACACACACACACCCATCGGCCACTGTGGAACCTGGAATCTGGAAGTGTGAAGGATTACACAGATATAATTTAATGCTAAAAATCCCATTCTGTTGTCTTATTATTATCATCGTGGTATTGAAATAAGTATTGAGTACTGCGTCTCTTTCTTAGTATCGAAATTGAGTTTGATATTTTAGTATCGTGATAACACTATTTTATAATGTATCCCTGCCTTCACTTATATTTGATTTATTTTGAATGTCTACAGACACAATTCGAGCACTGCCCTAAGGAAATGGCGATCAAACTGTCTGAATGTTTACAAGAAGAAAAAAAGATCCTGGATTCATGTGCAATCAACCTGGTGAGGCTCTTTACACTTTACAATGTGTTTTAGTGGTGGTTGGAGATATATCACTGAACAAAACTGAACCAAAATTTGTATAAGTCGACTAATAATTTTATGTAGATCGGGGTATATGAAGGGCCTCATATAGAAACATATTCATAGTGGGGTAGTAGTAGTCTTAACACTAATTTTAGGTCTGTATCACAATTTAATTAGATGTTATCAACGTTACAGAGATACAAATACTTGAATTTGCAGTGAAAAGTATAGCCTATAATGATTTGGGCCAATTCAACAGAAGGCCTGAGTTTAATAAGCATTTTTATATATTAATACACAGTTTCCTAGTAATTCTCTGTATAAATAGCTTTATTTACATGACCTCCAGTGCAGGTGTAGTCTTAATAGTTCTGTTAGCATTTGCCACACTCCCTTTTTAGTAGACTAATCAGTTGGCAGGGCATTTCTTTGTAGTCAACCGAGAATTTCTTTTGTTGACTACAAGTTTATAGAGGTCAAAATTAGCAGGTTGTATATATATTAAAATATAATAAATGGTACTTAAATATAATGGCAGGCTTTGTAATTTGCTTCTCACGACCATCCACATAGAATTTACTAATTTAAAGTGGAACTAAACACTAAAGGTTGCCACACACTACAGGATTTTTGTGGTGTTTTCGGATGATTTTTAAAAGTGTGACAAAAAGTGCACACCGCAGATAAACGGAGAATCTTATGAGATTTTAAATCTTCAACTGCAAAAACTGCTGCGGGATATGGCTCCGTACCACTGGCTATAAATTTGTGAGTGCACCTCATGCACCTCCCTTAAGTGTTTAGAAGATCAGAGCACTGCGCTTCTAGTTTAGCTACAAGTCAGAACTGTGTTATTATTTGTGAAATGTGGTGCAATCAGATACATGATTTTTAATACACAGAAGGCTGGTGATAAAGACACAAAATCAGAGCACGCCTTCCTGAAGTCGTAGAGTAGCAAATCCCAACTTAAATCAGGCAAATTGTCCTGTAGTGTGTGACAGCCTTAACTCAACTTTATTTGCTACAAAACTGTATATATAGTGTTTGAATAGCACTGTGTCTACTGTACCTTGTCCTTTTTGGCATTTTTAGCTCAAACTAGGTATATTTGCAACTTTCTGGTCAAAAATGTATAAAAAAGGGTGTGTGGTGTGCTGCCTCCAGTGGCATCTGCAATTTCAGTTATTGGTGACATCATACTGGACTGTTCTGATTGGCCATGTTTTTCTGGCCATAATCAGGTTACAAACACCAACAAACACCTGACTACAGGGGAAGAATTTGTGGAAGTGTGTTCCTTATATCTCCACTTAAGGTGTTCCACTTTAAATAAACTATTACTATACTTTTTCCTGTAATACCCACAAAATGCACACTTTGTATAAAATTTGTATAAAATTTGTATAACATTTATTTATAATTTATATTTTTTTAGCAGCGCCCTACTGTGACTGAAGAAACTGATACAGACCTGGATATCAAAGTGAGCGAACTGAAAACCCAGACAAAGGTACATTTAAAATAAAAGAAATCAGTCAAATATCATTTAAAAAGCATGTACTTTGTGTTTAGGCAATGCTTGGTCATTTCAGTTGTGTAATAATTTATTTTGATACAGGAAATTGAAGAGGAAATCAAAGTGCTGGAGAAGGTGGAATCAGTATACAAGGAATGGGAAAGTGAAGGTATGGTAACGAACAAAGTTAAAAGTCCTATATTATACAAAATAGATTCCTGTTAGCTTTAAGTTTTGAGTTGTTTTTTGTTTCATTTACAGTGCTACCTTTTATCATTTGTTCAGTGGAGATTGGCAATTCTAGGTCAGTAATGATCCAAATGATTATAGAGAAGGTGTATGGAGTTTAAAAACACAGAGGAATACTTCTTGTATGAAGTACTTCTTGAATACATGCCATCACAAGTGTAGTATTACAGGTTGATCTATGTAACTGTGAGACGCACCGTTGCCATGGTTTCTGGACTTTAAGAAGGAAATTTTCACCAAACCATTGGTTTAGCTTAGGAGGAGGGGCAGAACAGTCTCTTGGTTGTATGTGCACGTATCACAGAGTGGCTTAATTGATCAGTTTAGACTCAGCACATAACTTTAGATAACTCTAGTTTTATCTAATTTCCAATCTTTAGACGTTCTCGTGTAGCCTACACTCATTTGCATATTCCATACCTAAATACTGTCTGTTTAACTTGGTCAATAAATATTCATAAACCACAGTTTTATTTGGTGAAATGGTTATTTCCAGATATGTGTCACTGATATGGACAAGAATGTATGAACCTTCAGAACAATTGTTTAATGAATTATTGTCAATTAATTAACTTAGATAATTGATTATACTGAATTGGTAAGATTTCTCGATATTTGTGGAGTGGTGCCCCAAAACTCTACTTGTAGTCAAAGCCAAACACTCACAACGGCCATGTGAGTCCTGCTTTAACTTAGAACTCTCATTTCCAATATTTAATATCAATTTCCCCCTTTAATACTATGACACAAGTGTTTTTGTTTGAGAGAAGCCTAATAAATATGCAGGGATTGTGTGTTAAACATGTGAATGAAACTAAACTCTAGGTAAGTTTTGGATGAGGAAACAGTAAAGGAATAGTGTAAAATGTATTTTTTTTACCTTACTAATTAATTAATCTATATATTTATTTTCAGTTCAAAGGCTGAATGGACTTGCAACGACTCAAATGCAAGAAAAGTTTTTAAATCAAGCCAAGAGCATCAGAACAAAACAACAGGTGGGGAAAAAACAAATCAGATTTTGGTGACATTTCTACAAACATATTATTTGTTTTGTATAGCTAGACCTAGTTTAAAGGTGCACCATGTAACTTTTCTGGTAAACGATATGCAATCTGATTATCTCCATTCACATATTAAGTTATTGCTTTTACTGGAATATTCCACAGTATAGCATTAAACGTATCTATCTTCCATTGTGTTTTATGGGCTAAATATTACCTTACTCATCTTGTCCCCATGAAGACAGACAAGTGTAATGCCAAACTGTGGAAGACTGTCTAGAGAAAGCAATGAACTGTGTGCACAGTATTAGGCAAGTTTGACTATATCATGATTTTTTTTTCTTCATGTTCTCCAACTCCAAGCTGTATAAAATGGAATTCTTATTAGATTTAAGCATATAAAGTGATGTTTGTCTCACAAGGGAGGGTGTGGCCTAAGGAGATCAACACCCTATATCAAGGTGTGCAGAATTATTGGGCAGCTCTTTTCCTCAGACAAAATGGGACAAAAAGAGATTTAACTGATCTCTTTCAGAGGGATGCAGCTCTCCTGGAACTGCAAAGATGTTGGGGTGTGATCACAAAACCATCAAAGTTTTGTTGCAAATAGTCAACACTAACAGTGTCTCAAGAAATGTGTTGAGAAAAAAAAAGATGCAAATTAGCTGCAAGAGATTTGAGAAGAATCAAACATGAAGGATATCAAGAACCCATTATCCTCCAGCTCTGTCATATTCCAGAAGTGCAACCTACCTAGAGAGCCCAGAAGTACAAGGTGTTAAGTGCTCAAGACTGGGTCAAAAATATCTGAAGATAGATTTTTCAAAGGTTTTATGGACTGATGAGAGTGAGTCTTGACAGACCAGGTGGATTGGCCTGTGGCTGGGTCAGTAATGGGCACAGAGGTCCACTTTGACACTACCAAGGTGGAGGTGGTAGTATTATTAAAGATAAGCTTGTTGGACCTTTCCTGGTTGAAGATGGACTCAAAATGAACTCCAAAATCTACTTTCAGTTTTTAGAAGACACTTTCTTCAAGCTTTAGTACAGGAAAAAGTGTGCATCTTTCAAGAGGACCATGATTTTTACGCAGGGCAATGCTCTATTGCATGCATCGAAGTACTTCTTAAACTGATTTAAAGTGAAAGATTATGGCCATTATTGAGAAGAAGGGTGGCTATATTGGTCACAGATTTTTTTTTTTTATGTCACAAATGTTTATTTGTAAATTGAGAGATGAAAATGAGCAAGTGAGAATAGAAAATTTATTTTTCATTTAGATGGGTAATATTTCTGTACATTAATAGTTAATAGCCCAATAATTGTGCACTCATAGATTTTCTTCTGAGAAAGCTTTTACTTAAATATTCAGGTTTGGGGTTTATTAATATTTTTGATTGATCAAGAGCATTATAGTTGTTCAATTATAAAATTAATCCTCATGAATACAACTTGTCTAATAATTATGCACACTGTGCATATGGAGAAAAAAAGTTGGTGGATTAGAAAAGTTACACAGTGCACCTTTAAGTTCATCTACTTTTGGCTTTAGTTGTTATGTACTTGCATTTTTAACATTAGTATTGATGGCTAATCGCTAATTATTTCACAGGAGGTGGTTACCCAGATTGTGAAGTTGGTGAATTTTGCCAATAAGATTGTTCAAACGTTGGTTTCCGTGGAGATTCCTGAATGGAAACGCAAACAGCAAATGTCCTGCATTGGAAATCCAGTGTTCACCGGTCTGGAGCATCTGGAGAAGTGGTATAAGTCTTCTGTGTACCTAAAACTATTTATATTTGATCATGGCTTAAAGGGATATTGATACTTTGCAATGCCATCATGCTGGGGGTGTTTACATGTATTTCTATGGAAGAATGTAGAGCAGTTACCATTAACACATAGCAAATTGGGGGCACTGTGGTGACAGTAACTCAGTGGTTAGAGCATTGGTCCCCAAATTGAAGGTCAAAGGATCAATTCCCACTCAGACCAAGTTCTGTTATTGTGGCCTTAGGCAAAACACTTCATCCACCGTGCATAGCATGAAAGTGGTGTAGAGGTGTGTGCATGGATGCTTGGTCAGTTGCTCGCTCGCTTTCGTCAGTCTGGAGGACTGTATTGGGAAAATTTGGAGAAGGCAAAAGTTAGATTTTTCATCTTATGTTTTTGTGACTCTTCAACCAATCAGATTCAAACTAGTAATGAAATTACACATTTTGCTTTCAGCCAGAGCCATCTCAGATTGACAATGGCAGAAGTCGTGTGTATCACGAGGGCGTGAGCCAGGTTAACTGTTAAATGCCACTGTGAAGAGGCAGGTGCTAACAGTTCTACAGTTGAAGATGAAGTGAATGAACCTGTTTCAATTTTTAAGCCATTTTTGATGATTAAAGCCATAGATTTATACTGTACGCCTGGAAAAAGGAGTATGTCTTCTTTAACACACTTCTGTTTCCTCAGGTTCAGTGCTGTAGCAGAGTCTCTTCTGCAGATCGTCCAACAGGTGAAGAAACTGAGGGATCAGAGCAGGCCTCAGATCAGCGCCAAGTCCGACCTGTCTCAAGTCATACAACAAATCAGCTCATTAATCAAGGAACTCCTGAAGAAGTACACAGAAACACACACACATCTGCACTATGCATGACTTAAAAGTTCACTATATTTTCTAACTTTTCTAATGGAGGCTCTGGCTCTTACTGGTCTTGTCTACATAGAGCTGGTATAGAGGTATGTTTTACCTGAAATGTTCCACAGTACGTCATTAAGCTAATCTACCTCCGTGTAGATAAGGGAGGGGAGACTGAAAGCTTTGAAAACGAAAATGAAACTTACTATCTTAAATGTATTAATCAGGCAAGTCAGAACAATAAAAGATAACATGGTGATCTCAATATGTTATGTGTTGGCAATTGATTTCCCATAAAAGCTTAATACCCACTTTTTAAATAATTTTCAGTTAAAATAAGTCAGATGATCTCAATTAATTAATTATTTTTTGCATCTTATCTTTTTTGCAGTGCTCTGGTGGTGGAGAAACAGCCTATGATGTACAGCCAGACCCACAGACCTCTGGTGCTCAGGACTAATGTCCATTTCAGTGTGAAACTCAGGTAAATCAAACAACTTAATAAGTCTTCAATAGTTGCAATTAGTAAATTAGTAAAACAACAAAATATCTTGTATTAGTGTCAGTTTATAACTTATGTTATAACTTGAGTTTACGCTGTTTGTCAATGTCATTTTTCACTGAATATACCACAATGTTATACCACAATGTGCCTCAGTGCTGGTGATATCGAATAATTGTATCTGTTTTGTTTTTGAGCAAATTGTTGCATTAAAGGTGTGATTTCTTATTTTAGACTTTTGGTAAACCTGCCAATTCTACAGAATGGTTGTTTGATAAGAGCAGAGTTTGATAAGTAAGTCAAATTGAGTGCATGCTAAGTATTATTATTTTTTAATCATGTTTTAACTCATATCATGTCATATATCTATTTTCAATTAAGGGGTGTGGAAGAAATCAAGACTATTCCAGGGTAAGTGGAATTTAAAATGACTGGTATGACTTAATAATAACTACACCTTAATTAGTCAGTACTTTATTAAAAATAATTCTGGCTAACTTAGTTAAGATGTTAGGGTATTAATTAAAGGCCCATGATTTACGGACAAACGACAAAATAAAAACACCAGGATGGTGCAGAGAGGGTTAATGCGAACATTTTAAGACCAAAATGATGAGTCTGACAACATGTGAGACCCTGCCCACTTTCTATTTGGAATGCAGCAGCTAGCAGGGTTAGCAGTCTATGGCCCATGCTTTATAAAGAGTCATTAAATTCTACTTATTATAATGTGTAACCATTTAACTTCAATCAGTTGTAATCTGTCTAAGGGTTTGTGCACGTGCTAAATGCATTAGCAACAAAGAAGAACATGCAGATGAAGTTGTTTAGCGGGCGCTGCTTGATTTTATCAAGACGACGAGAGCAAAAACTTCATGGACGTTTTCCACTTTGGGCCGTTCCAGTTATTGCAACAATGACACATTAAAAGTGATGTTATGTAAAAGTGCTAATTCACAAAATGAAATTATCCTAATAATTACCCTGATTTGAGACTGCATTTTCTACAGCTCTAATAGGCTACCGCAAAAGTTTAGCCTGGGTTTCCGAACGCGTCTCTCATGCACATGCATCAGCTGTTTCTCCTTTAAGCATCTGTGGATTTGGCACAAGCAGGGCGACGTGCACACAAGGCTGGACGTAGGGGGGGGCGGCATCTTGTGGTCCACCCCACCCCCAGGAGGGGGTCTTACCCAGGGTGCCAATCTGTGTAGGGTCGCCACTGCTGTGTGCCTATGGGTCTGTATCCACAATGATCACGGTGCAAAAAATGAAAATTGAAGTCAGTTTTAACTGTATTAGGCTAAAGACTTAACAAACTTTTATGGATATAAAGGACACATCAGTGAGCAAAGTTATCATATAATGTAGGCTGCACGTCCACACAGAGCAGAAACAGTGCAGTCCTTTTGCTTAGACGCTAAACTCTCAATTACATATGAGAATTGTGGGAGGAAAAATGTGCAGTTTCTAATGGAAAATCAGCTGCAACATGGACACAAACAGCGTTTGTAATTCAGCACACACTTAGTAAATATACCCCATAATAATATATTTCTTATTCTAGGTTTCGTCAATTTCAGTTCACCTGCAAAGACACCAAAGTTATGGACAAACAAAATGAAGGTCTTGTGGCAGAGTGGGACATGGTATGTTTTACACAAAAACTTATATGAAAGGTTTAAAGTTTGATCCCAACTATGACTAGTGCCTGCTGTTATTGTGTCCATTTGGCAAAACACTTCACCCATATTGCCTACGTGTGGTGTATGAGTTACTGATTGGTGGTGGTTAGAGAAGCTGAGACAATTTGGCAGTCCTATCTGAAATAAAAAATGCATTGTAAAACTATCACTAACTTTCACTATCCACAACAATGCTAAATAAAACTGCTAGTTTAGATTGTTATTATTTTTAAAGTAGTAAGAGTTAACATTTGGAAATAGTCACTTCTTTAAAGGTTCACTTTGTAACTTTTCTGGTGAATTGTCCATCGCCTGCTCGTCTCCATGGAGATGTAATTGCTTTGCCCAGAATCTACCAGGTTGGAAGTGTGGAAAAGATAACCTTGCACACATTAAGACTGCATGTTTTTCAAGGAGTTAACTAAACAGTGACACCTGCAATATAAATTGAATATCATACATGGAACATTCCATGAATAGCAGTAACATATCAGCTGAGATAAGGAGCCAGCAGGCTCTCCACCAGAAAAGTTACGCAGGTTACCTTTAAATTATTCTTTTTTCTGTAATGTTTATTTAAGTCTATTTAAGACTAATGTTATTATTTTTTTTACAGTCAATTTCAGAAAACAAATCAAAACGGAAAAGGTCGAACGAGGTTAGGAGCCATAGGACTTCAATGAGCTGTGATTACATACTCTTGAGTAACTGTTAAACTAAAATAACTTTATTTTTTGAGCAGAGCCCCATCAAAGTGACTGAGGAACTGCACATTATTAAATTCAGCACTGATCTATGGATTGCGGGTCTGCAGTGTAAGGCAGAGGTGAGCCATGTAGGGCTGTTAAAAGTCTAAAATCAGATTCTAATCGATACTAAATCTGGTATTGAAACTAGATTCCCATTTGAGCAAGTATCGATACTAAAAAAGTCACATAAATGGGATAGAAATTAATCTTTACTAAAACCGCCTGGACAAGTGAGGAAGATATAAGACTCATGGTAATAAGTACTATTATTTAATGTTGAAAATACATTTTACTGTTGAAAAAATTGTTTTTTTTATTAACACCGTGGTGTAGAGTATTGGTACTTATTGGGTATTGAGTTTTTTTCCTTGGTATTGCAGTGGTTTGAAATTTTAGTATTATGACAACATTAAAACAATGGTGACCTACATTTAGATAACCAAATACACTCAAATACCCTAATAGTACTATATTGTACTCCTATTACCTAATTTGAAGATTTCTATTGTAGAAGTTAGGTGTGGGCAGTATAACAAAAAGTTAATGCAATTTTTCCGATTCATTTTTATTTTTGCTCCAAACCACATGTTCGGAGAGGCCAGCTGTAGACTGCTCCAAGACCCAAGATAATTTACTGAATAGAAATGAATTTAGCTTAATTTAAATTACATTATTTGCACATCCTATTGTGAAAATTATTGTGTGTGAAAATTATTGTTCTGTTTCTCTTGTTCCAGACCAGCTCTCTGCCTCTGGTGGTCGTGTCCACCACCAGTCAGGGCCCTAGTGCCTGGGCCTCTGTGCTGTGGTCCAACCTCTGCCCCCCTGAGAATATGGTGAGGAAAACCATTACTTTAAGAGCCTTTATATTGCTTATCAAACATTTTGATGTTTCCTCAGTACAAAAACAAAAAATAAATAAATAAATAAACATTGATACCATTTTATAATAACTACACTTTAAAGTTGGACTAAACATCTAAACTCCTTCCACAATAACATTTTAAATTGAACTACTAAATTGGACAGTACCTGGAGGTCTTCAGGAGTCTGTGAGGTGAGAGGGGAGGTAGGGTTTGGACATATGAGGGAACAGTGTGATTGGGCTAAGAGGTACCTACATTTCACAAAGCTGCAAAGTTACCTAGTTTGCACAAAAATTACCAAAAAGGACTAAGAACATTAGATAATACTATAAATACACCATATACACAATTAAGTAGCGCAAAAAAATGATTTAGTGTGACCTTGTCAGATCTCAGAAGCTAAGAAATTCTGGGCCTGGATAGGAAAAACTAAACAAAAAGAACCTGTCTTTAGGCACCCACATCACCTAGTATGGGTGTGGTGTGCATGAGTGTTGGTGGTGGTCGGAGGGGAAGGTGGCACAGATTGGCAGCCTCTCTTCCTTCAGTCTGCCTGTGGATACAATAGTAACTTAAGAGTAAGAGTAAATGAATAATGCACAGTAAAGCATCTTTGAGTGTTTAAGTAAGAAATGCATGTACAGATCGGACAAGTACTGAGACATGGGGCAGGAAGTAGTGACCAGTCTGTAAACCCTATACACAAGATTTCAGTCTGGACTTACCAGGCAATACATTTCTGTCATGAATATATATCACTCTGGTCAGTAATATTATTGTCTGATAATATTATGTAATATTATTGTTCCCTGTCCTCTAGACTCTGTCCCTATTCTTGGACCCCCCTTCTCTGTCGTGGGAGCAGCTGTCCCAGGCTCTGAGCTGGCAGTTCATTTCAGCCGGAGACAGAGAGCTCAATGAGGACCAACTTAATGAACTTAAACTCAAAATTGTTGGTTAGTCTTTCACAATTTGATGTCCATAATTAATATGTAAAACATTTTATAATAACTATACATTAGACCTAAAATGAATTTACAAAAACTTACTTCATAATGATCAAACAGTTTAAGAATTTTTCAGGTTTAGTAACTGAATAATAATCCACGATCTTAACCCTACCCCCTTTATTAAGTAGTGACTGAATCATAAACTGTTTGTTCACAATGGATTAAGTCTTTGTTCATGCTTTATTACAGCTAATTAATGTTTTGTTAATATAAAATTAAATCAAATAATGACATGCATATTTTCTTAACAGACAACCCAGATCTCGTGTCTTGGTCCAAGTTTTCTAATGTAAGTGTTTAATTAAACACACATACACACATACACACACACTCATGCACATGTTACAATACATAAAACTATATAGTAAAACATGAGGCTGAATACAGGCAACTAGCTGAAAAACCTAATTTTTTTGTAACTTTTTGTGGTGGATGGTCTGCCACTTGCTTGTCTCCATGGAGATGATATTGCCTTTCCTGTTGAATATTCCACAGTAAGTCATTAAACCTGTCTATCTCCATGGACATGTCATTGAATAAATGCAAGATTGTTTAATACCATATTGTGGAACATTCCAGATTAAGCAATAACATCTTCAATGATACAAGCATGTTGCTCTCCCCACCAGAAACGTTACATGGTACCCCTTTAAGGTTTTGTATTTTGTTTTTCCATACAGATTGTAAGTCTACAGTTCAGATCAGATAAGATCTCATTTAAAACTGGCGCCTTTCATCACTCTCTACATTTGTTAATGTCTGTGTTTGCTTTATTAGTTTTATTGTATCTGTTTTCATTATTATTAAAGAGTACAAATTGTTACAGCAGAAAGAAGGCCCTTGGATTTGGATCGATGGGATACTGGATTTAATTGAGAAGCACCTGAAGAATCTTTGGAGAGATGGGTAAGAGGTTTTCTTCACCAAAGTGTGGTATTATGTATAATAGATTAGTTTTTTCTACCATGTTATAACATTATTCCCTCCCTCCCTAAAAACATATCTAAAGAGGTTTTAGATGTCATCCATCCATATTTTATTTATGCAATTTAGCGAGCTCTCCCAGGCCCTCTTTGAACCCTCCTTTTGGGTAGCTTGAAGATTCTGTCCAATGCTCAGCCCACAAGCCTACATCACACGTGCTCCTACTTGACAATCCATAAATCTACAAAAGCAGCAAAACCAGCATGGTGATTTAAATATGTTGTGTGTTAGACATTAATACCCCATACAAGTAAAATATCTTCTCTTTAATTGTTTTATTTAATGCATCTCATCAAGCTCTTCCTCAGCTATTTTAGTTTATTTATTTATTTATCTGTGTTAATTCCAGGTGTATCATGGGATTTGTGAGCAAGGAGAATACTCGAGACCTTTTACTGACAAAACAGGTTGGGAACTTCCTGCTGCGCTTCAGTGAGAGCAACAGAGAGGGTGCTATCACCTTCAGCTGGAGCGAATACACAACTAATGGTACTTTACCCCCTTAACACATGGTTCAAATAATCAGATTGCAGCTCTAGTTCATTTTATGGTCCCAAAGTTATTCCTCACTTACTTTATGCATTCTGAGCAACGTAATTATTCATTGTGGTGAGACTGTGCTTTTCACAACTCTCAGATACCAGACTGGAGTTTTGTTATGACAGTAAAGCTAACAATTAGCATCCCAACATGCACTTCCTGATTAGCGGAATAACTTCTTTCTCATTAGATGTAGACAGTACACAGTAGACATATTTTGATCTCAAGAGCTGCTTATGTATTATATTATATTATGGGCAAGACAATTTTTCCCAAATATGTACATACAAAAAAAGAAAAAAACCTGATACATGCCCTTTAACGCTATTTAAAGCGTTGTTATCATAACAGTTTTTTAAAGTATTCAGCCATTAACTTTTCTTCTCAACGTTATTAGCTTCTTAACGTTATATGCTTTGTACATGTACTATAATCTTATTAAGTATTAACAAGCATTAACAAGCATGCTAATTACCTCTAAATTAGCGATTAATATTGTGTTCTCTAAACTAATGTGTTACAAAAAAAGTTCAGGAGACATTTTTCTTCTTTTTCCCTGTAGAGATCACTGTCCGTGCCATCGACCCCTTCAGCAAAGACGAGCTGTCCAGGACGTCTCTGGCTGACACAATCAAAACCTACAGAACCAAGAGGAACTCCAACAACCCCCTGATCTACCTGTTCCCAGACCAACCTAAGGATGACGTTTTCAAACGCTACTACTCAGGTACAAGCGGTATTAACTCTTTACGCATTTGTTTCTTTAAAGGGGTACTATCTAACCTATGGTACTTATCTCCATAGAAGTGCTATTACTTTGCCTGGAATGTTCCACAGTATGACATTAAACTAATTTTTCCCTTGTTAAACACAAATGGTGAACTGCAGCTAGTTTTTTGGAACATATTTGTTAGCTGCCATGATGGTTGGTCTTAATAAAAGTATAGTGACCCGGTTGTGTGTGATGGCCCTCAGAGATTTAGGTAATAATACTGACTTGATGAAGTTTTTGAAAATATCTGAAAGACTTGCCAAAAAGATAGGACACTACTTAGACAAGCTGAATTTTTTAGAAAAATATTCACAAGTTTACAATTTTTATATATTTTTTATGTTTATATTTTAAATATTTAAAAACTTGTAATATAATCTAATTACATTTTGTTCACATAAAGAGTTTTTAACAGTTTTTGAGCAGATGAAATCTCTGAACCCTGGGCACAAAAAATTACATTGACTTCCAAACTTCAAAATCATCCATGCACATTTCAGTATTTAGCGATTTCTCTCTTGGGCTCTATTCAAACCCTCCTTACAGTTAGCAGTATGATCGTGTCCAATGCTCAACCCACAAGCCTAGTTATCCATGTTCCCACAGTGCCCTATAAATATACAGAAATATACAAAAGCATGATACAAAACTGTGCACAACAACTTGACAAACCTGATGCGTTGTGCAGTAGTTTCATTAGTAAAATACATGCTGATTGTGTTGCGATATCACTCTGAAGGGGTTCAGCAATTACTGGAACTGGAGATGGACTCTTAACTCATGAAACTTGCTCAATACCTTACACTGCTTTATGTGTTTTTATTTTATTTTCCAGAAAGCAACAATAACCAATCAGTGGGACCTTATTTAAAAAGGACATATGTTTGTGAAGGAGAGTAAGTACTGTTTTCTCGATAAATTTGTTTACATTGGCTCTAACTCGGTATTGTAATTTCCATTTGAAGATGAATAAAATTAATTGTGGTTCTTATTTTTCACAATTTTATGAACATTTATGCACCTTTGAGTGTAAACAATTTGCATTCAGGAGAAAATATATTTAAGAAAAATCAGTTCAAAGTAAAGGTAGTCAGCAAAGTTCTAAATAGCTGTATTGTATTTATTGATATATTTCTTATCGCTGCAGCTGCCCCACCCCTCCATCGTGTTCCCCTCCATTGAGTTTCTCTCTTCACACACAGATGGACCTGGATCAGTACTGGGGAGACATCCCCACTCCTCCTCCGGTGGGTCAAACTGTCAAAATTAAACTAAACCCTCAGAGTGTATTAAAGGTTCTAGATTACACAAAAATGACTTTTGAGCTTTACACCATGTAGGCCTGTAACGATAACAGATTTTGCTTAATTAATTGACCAAGAATTTATTGCGATAAACAATAATATCAACATTTTGAGACCAATTTCCACTAATAAATAACATGGAATAAAAATGCAAATACACACTTTCAAAGATCAATAAACCTTACTTTCTAAATCACATTAACACAGGAACTGTAAGACAACCAAAAACAACAAGCCTAAATAAAACAGACCTGTTAACATAAGTATAATGTAGTCTGGCTCACAGCAAGGACTTGTTAACAAAATACACTTGAATAAACCACTGTTGAACCAAACACAACCAAAACAATAAATAAAATGGATTATTAAATCTCTGTAACAAAATTGCCCTTAAAAGTTATTTTAGTCGTTGACTTACATTGGAGTATTGTGTCTCCTCCCTCTGTGGCTGCTGCTGTGAGCCTTGGCATTTTGGTCTTGAAGTGTTCATATTAACCCGCGACACAGGAAGCTATTTCGCTATGAGGGAGCCTCTGTCCTGTCTGGTGTCGTGTTGGTGTCTTGTGGGATTTCAGTGGATTTTGGCCTCTCCCGGGGACTAAGGCTAGTTCTGTCATTCAGGTATGGGTTTATGTCGGCTGTTGGGGTTTGAGCCATTTCTTCTCATTGTTTGTGTTCTTGCTGAATTTGACACATGTGGCTGTTGAGACATGTGCCACTTACCAGTGTTGATTTGGCATCGTGACTTGTTTTGGCACTCGGCGATGAACTGCTTTGTCACTCTGACAGCGGCACTAGCTTGTGTTGTGGCTTCATATTACCCATACAGACAGCTTTCTGCACTCGCAGAACCGTGTTGATAAACACAGCGCACGTTGGTCCAAGCGTCATTACGCTTGTTAAACAAGAGGAGCCTTCTAATATTCCCCCTGTTTGAGAGCGAGAGAGAGTGAGGAAAACAAACAAGCATGCAAATAGAATTTATCGTGGCCGGAAAAGTTATCGAGCTCGTTAAAAGTAATCGTACGATTAATTGATTTATTGATTATCGTTACAGGCCTAACACCATGTTAGAATCAAAAGCATACCTGGAGTTGTGTTTAGTTTCATTCACACGTTTGAATAATCCTGCATTATTAGTCTGGCTACATCTCCAAAGCTCAAAATGCTTCGTTCCACCTTGCAATGTCACAAAGTGGTATTTTTCAAGTTAACAGGTCCTTTCACCTTTTGTTCAGTAGAGATTGGCAATTCCAGGGCTGAAATGATCCAAATGATTCTAGTGAAGGTGTATGGAGCACTTCCTGTATTACCACATGACATCACAAGGTGGAACAGACTGAGTGTTTTCAGTTTGAGAGAAGAACCCTAAATACGTGAAGTTTGTATGTTCAATGTGTGTGAATGAAACAAAATACAACTCCAGGTATGTTTGTAACAAATAAACATTATAACATAGATCAGGAAAAAAACAACACTAAAAGGTACAGTATGTAACTTTCTGGAGGTGGTATGTTACCTGCATGATTCCATAGAAATAGAAAGTGAACACATTCTCATTCTTCGGAACATTCTCCATGGAAATAGATACAGTTTATGCTGCACTGTGGATGATGATAACTAAAGAAACAAGCAGGTCCTCTGGGTCAAATAAGAGTCCGGTTTGTGGAGATGCAAGGCCACTCACAATAAGGACCTGTTTTTATACATTTTTCAGTGCAGCAAACATAACCAAAATTAAAACGATATGATTTTGTTTTAGTCTATTTTTTTTACTAAAATGTTACATACTGTGGCTTTGAAATCAGGCCACTGTGTGTCTGTATTTTATTGCTCCTCAGTTGACTGCCTTTAGGTGTTTACATGATTTGAAAGTCTCAGTTTGCACTTAAAAATAAATTACTAATATTATTTAAATAAGATATTTTCAAATGGCCGTTGCCTGGTCATGGTTTATTACATTTTATTATAGCATTTAAATACTTCACTTCATCAAAGTTTTTTTTTTCTCTCTTCTGTAGATGCTGAGCTCACCATCATTTGAAAAGATAAAGAATGATCTGGTCTCAGACATGGATCTTGACACTTCCGATTGGCCCTTTGTTGGCTTTGAGACACAGTGAGCTAGTTAGCGTCCTGCTGTACAGTCACTTTTTAAAAAAAATTGCCAAATGTGAAATGAACACCCAATTCAAATTCATATAGATTAAAATAAAGACTACCTGATTATTTTTAATATTTAATATTTATTATGCCTCAAAAATTAGCATTAGCATTAGCACTGAAACACAAATCTCTACCTTTTTGTTTATGTACTTTTGACACATGTTGTCAGTCACATCCATCCGCAACTCACTGTCCAATGTCTTATATTTAAATATTTATTCATTTTAGCACAACGTTTTTCACAACAACAACAAAAAAACCAAACAGATCTACAATTGGACATGAAGTAGTGAAGCTAACAGTATGGTTGCCAAATGCAGTTGTGCAAAGAGCCTATACCTGATACTTTGATTTAAAGATCCTCTGCAGCAATGTTTGCTTATGTGTGACGGGTAAATGGTCACATTTTTATACAGAGCTTTTCCACCTTCAAAGCACTCAAAGGACTTTACATCAAGGAACCACTCACCCATTCACACACACATTCATACACCAGTGTATACAGACACTGGGTGGGTTAAATGTCTTGCCTAAGGAAATTCGTGTGTGGGAGCTGGAATCACACCACTGAACTGTGGGTCAGTGGATCTGACCGCTGTCTCGTGTGTGCATGGTCTCATCATAGTACCTGCTGAACATTCTGCCATAGACATACATGCAGAACACTCCCAGTGTGATATCACTGCAAGCTAGAAATAACTGCCATATTAGTGTGACTGCCATAAGCATACTGTACATTATATTATATTTTCTTTTTTTCTCTCAAAACTCTGAAAAGTCTGTACTGTAGTAATATTCCCTCTGCTTCTTTTGTCTTTGTTGTTTTGTATCTTTGTCGTTTTTATATTTATGATGTATATGCTGTTGTTGTTGCTGTCTCTGCTGCCATAAGAAAGAATTCAAAAGGATTTCTGAGGTAGTTATACTTTGAATCAATGTGGCATAAATGTAACTTGGTTTTAAGAAAAAAATAAATAAATCAAGAAAAAATACTTCACAATTTGTGTTTATTTGTTAATTTATTTCATTTAAATGTATTTCAATATGTTCTGATGTATATAAATTGTCCAGTGGCACAGAATGGCTTCCATGTCATGTCCAGAGCTGCTGTGGCTTCACTTTCTCTTTTTTCATACAAACTAAATGTGTGAAACTAAATTTCCTCTACCCGTTAACCATCACTATTCATCTGTACATGCTCAAACCATCAACAGGACATATGTAAAGGTACACTATGTTACTTTTGCTGGTTAAGGTACATAGGTATTTATTCAGTATTTGACCCATTCCTCAGTGTTGATGCTGACTGACCGCAGCGCAGCACCTGCCCATTTCCAGATCATGAGCTTTATTGGTCAGGATTATGTTTACTGGAGGATTTGACCTATTGTCAGAGGAGGGTAGAGTGTCCAAAATTGTACTCAAGTAAGAGTGGGGTTACTTAAAGAATATTACTCAAGTAGAAGTATAAAGTAGTGAAGCAGTAATAACACAGTGGAGCACTTCCTGTATTACCACATTATATCACAAGGTGGAGCAGAGTGTTTTCAATTTGAGAGGAGAACACAGCCTAAATATGCAGGGCTTGTGTGTGAATGAAATAAAATTAAAAACTAAAAATAAAATCCAAGAATGTGTTTGATGAGGAAACAACTCAGAAAATAGCGTGGGCCATTTAAGGAAAACATATGTCTAGAGAAGTAAAAACATACATTTTTCAGCATTTTTATTTTATTTTATTTATTTTACAATATATTTGAAATAGAGACATCTTATGACACAGCACTTTAAACTAAAATCATGTTATTGTACATTCATTTTGTAGGCTATAATATGTCATTTTGGTATACTTTTTCTACACCGTAAAAACAAAAACGTACATCTTTAAAACATTGCAACTTTTCACACACTCGTATAGCTTTTTGAGGAGATTTTGCTGGCTGAGAGCAGATGACCCGCCTGCTCGCAATATAACATCAATATAATAATCTACAAACATTGGTCTCTGTCAGGATTCTCAACTGGTGACCTGGGATCTTCAAATGTTTTTAAAAAATTATTGAAAATTGGAAGTTAGATCGTTAATTTCTGTTAGCGAAATGACAGATTGTTATAGTTTGAACAGTGAAATTAAACAAACTTCATTCAAGATTGATGCAGTTATTTTTAATCTTTTTAAATTGTATCTTGTTTATCTTTAGGAAATTTTATATTGAAAGCTGTTTGTGTTTATAATTCAAAATAGCGGTAATGGTTATTTTTGTAAGATTTTTTATTTATTTATTTAATTTATTTATTTATTTCGGTCACAGGTATATTTTGACATTAATTCATAAACAGTCATATTTAACATATACAGACCGAAAAGGTGCAGATCAATAAATTTGAGCAACAGTAGCGTTTCTATTTCATTTTATTTATTTTTTTAATTGACCTTTATCTAACCAGAATAGTTACTCTGAGATTAAAGGAGAGAGTACACATTTTTTAGTGGAGGGGGAAATCTAAGTATGGTAGTCGTATAACTAAAAGTTTGATAGATTTAACAAATCTCTGGCCAATGCATGATGCTGTTGTGTCTTTTGGCATTGCACTTCACCTTCCTTGTATTACTTTAGCCTCTGTAAATTGTCTGGATAAAATAAACTGAACTAATTTCCATTACTTAGCCCAGGGGCAGTTGTGGCTGTCAAAGCTTATAACCATTGAGTGTGAGGGGTGAATAACAGTTTTGTATTGCTGATTTCAGAGGTGGGACCAAGTCGTTGCTTTGCAAGTCTCAAATAAGTCTCAAGTCTTTGACCTCAAGTCCAAGCCAAGTCCCAAGTCAAAGACAGGCAAGTCCAAGTCGAGTCTCTAGTCACTGGCCCATAAATCCAAGTCAAGTCCAAATCGTCTGCTTTGAGACTCAAGTCATTTCAAGTCTTTAAACCAAAGTACCAAATATAGCTTAGATTTGTGCTATTTATATGACTTTTAAACTAAACTGTACTTAAAAAATCATGGTATATTTATATATGAGTATTTATGTAAGAGTTTTAGAAATAGACATTTTTCCTTTTTAAATGTCTTGACAAGATCTTATTGTGAATCATTACGGACAGAAGAGAAAAAATTAAGATTTAAAAGTGCTTAATAACAGTTATTTTGTCATGTAGTCTGCACTAAAATGGAAGGATCATGTTCTCTGTAGTTCCCTCTGTTTTACTGTACTGTACTGTATTGTACTGTAGTATATTTGACGACACCATCTCACAGTATTTCAGTTACATCCAAAGTAACCGAACAGAAGTGAGAGTGACATGTTCCAGTTTGTTCCTGTAAAATTAAGCGCCGCATTTATCAACTGTAAAGAGAAAAGTATTTTCTAAAAACATATATTTCTTTGGGCGAAGCATCAAGTCCTCTCTAGTCACAGGCCTCAAGTCCGACTCAAGTCCCAAGTCACTGAGCTTCAAGTCCAAGTCGAGTTCCAAATCTTAGTCCATTTTATCAAGTCAAGTCTCAAGTCCTAAAAATAGTGACTCAAGTCCCCACCTCTGGATGATTTATTTGATAGCGAAATCTGGCCCCAAGCCAAACCAGCTGAGAAATTCTAGTCAAAATCAACACTCGAAACAACACAATCTCACATTTAAATATTTTGCAATAAATACCGTGTCTATTGCGTGAGCCACAGAAAAATACATTCAGATTACACAGTCCTTTGAATCCTGCTGAGGAGCCTGCGACAGACAGGGACAAACAGATAGGAAAATATAATAGGCCAGTTTATAATAATATGAATATAAAGGCCATATAGTCACATTTATTTGAACTGCAGCATCAAGTCTCAGAGCAGTGACACAATCAGCTTAAGTACAAACAAAACTCACTACTTCGAAATACAATAGTGAGCGAATGACTAGTGAGAATCTGGTCCACTATTTAAAGACACACTATGCAACTTTTCTGTTTGAGGATACTGCTCCTGCTTGTGAAGATGGAGAAGTTATTGTTTTTGAAGGAATATTCCAGAGTATGGCATTAAATGTATATTTTGCATTTATTAAATGATCAAGTACCTTGGAAAATGGCAAAAGAGAAATTCAATTTGTCAACTGGACAAAAGTTTTCTTGGCCAAATTCGTTTCGCAGCTCATCCAAGCTGCTTCTTCAGTTCTGGTCAAAATTCTAGTGAAGCACTTCCTTGTATCTGCCTGAAGGGAGGAGCTAACTACACTGAAACTACTCTGAAACTAACACACGTACCTGTTTACAGTTTCTGTTAGTTAGGCGTATTAAACTGCACTGAGGGTGGGGTCTTATGAGCATAACCAATCAGGGCCTTAATGGAGCTTTCACACCTCTGGACCTGCCCGGCTGCCCCTATTGTTCTCTTGTTTGTTTTGATTTAGGTTTGAGGATGGAGTTGTAAAGAGTTGTAAGATGATGTCTGAGGCCTCCATTTCTGTTTAGAGAAGGAGTCTCTTTCTTAACAAAAATAGCTTCTTTAACTCCCCTCTCAAACCAGTTCTTTTCTCTGGCTCAGATCTGTACCTCATTGTCCTCAAAGGAGTGGCCCATGGCTTTTAGAAGGAGATGCACAGCAGACTGAGGTCCACTGCTGCTCTCTCGTCTGTGTTGGTACATCCTCTTGTGAAGTGGCTCTTTTGTTACTCTGTAGTGCTGTAGTACTGTATGTTGTCCTCTGTGTGGACCAGTTTCTGTCTTAAAGTGTTTGTAGGTTTGAAATAAACTGGGATCTCATGTTGTCTGAAAATCCTCTGTAATTTTTCAGAAACATCAGTCATGTAAGGAATAGTACCCCCTTTCTCCTGGGTTCTGATTCCCTGTTGTCCTGTTTTTTGTTTTTTTATCTCTCTTTGTTTTATTGAAAGCCCATTTCGGATACCCACAAACAGAGAAGGCTTTCTGCACACGTTGTTCTTCTTTCTCCTTTTCCTCTGTGCTTGTAGGCACCACTTGAGCCCTGTGTTGTCGTGTCCGAATAACTCCAAGTTTGTGGTGCAGTGGGTTGTGAGAATCAAAAAGCAGGTACTTCACATACCTTGAAAAATATGCATTATTTTACCATGACCTGATATGTAACGAAGCCTGGTAGCATTATTTGTTTCCTTTTCTTAACAGAGATATATGTTTAATGTCGTTCTGTGGGACATTCCAGGCAAAGCAATAACATCTCCATGGAAACAAGCAGGCGGCGTACCCTCAACCAGAAAAGCTACAGTTTACACCTTTTCGACTGTGTTCACAATGAGCAAAAGTGGCCAAAACAACTTCTGTTTATCATTTCATTATTGCAGTTTCAGAATAGTGCAATGAATAGCCCATTTCAGTTTGTCGGAAAAAGGGAAAATTAATTACGGTATTCATCATATATTGCAAAATTATTTAATACTAAAGTAGACTTAAAAGTGTAAAACGTTTTATGAACTGACTGCAAATTGATACTTCTTTAGGTTGAAGTTAATTCAGACATTTTTGAGGCAGTATACTCTGTCCCAGCTACAAGTCTGAATAAATTAATACATGAAGTGTTGTCAGGAAGGGCACTTGGCTTGAACTCTTAAATGCCAAATTGAAAGGCAAATGTTTGTTAATTTACTGTTGTGACACATGGTTGACTGAAGTAAGTCATACATGGTTGATGTGGTATAGCCCTTACTACGCACAAGTGCAAAGATTGTCGGACTTGTATAATTGATTATATAAAATTTTGATTAACCAAGGAATGTGATTTAATACCTTGTACTGGAGTGATACAGATCAGTGGGTGTGTATCAGGTAGTAATAGTATTGATATTAGAAAATCAAACTTTTTTTAAACTTGGTTTGAGCCACTTTGCACTTTGTGAACGGCCAACATCCAAAACCTGATAACATGAAATATACTTTAATATGTTTTCACAATTAAACACCAACATCACAATTTATGAATGAAAGAGACCCAAGCAGCCACTGCAACTGCACGGCAAAAATGAACTGTCTA